CGCAGCGACCAAGCGCCCGCCCTCCTGAGTATCGCCGCCCGCGCTTGCATGATGTGGGTGAGGCGCCCGATGGGCGGCCCCTTGTGGCGCGGTGGGCGTGCCGGCGAGAGGAAGGTCGCGTGATGGCAACGCCCCAGAGCCGAGTGTCTCACGCCCCAAGCACCGAGAACCTGCTGGCTCCGCCCACGGCCGAGACGCCCCTCTGCGCCATGCCCCGCCCACTGATCACGATGGGCGAGAGCGCCGACAGCGGCGACAGCGTGACGGCGTCGCTCTTCCCCTCCAGCGCCGCCGTCGTTGGCCAGCGCTGCCCCCCCGAAGGGCAGCACGACGCGGGCGCCACGCGCTCCGTCCCCGACATCGAGCTGCACGCCCGCGAGGTGAGCACGCGGCCCGAGTACCGCGGGTACCGCCTGCTGGCGCCGCAGGTGCGGTGCTCGTGCTCGCACCTGCCGCGGGCGCCGTCCCGCGAGAGCGTGCGCTCCGTGCAGGGCGGCAGCGAGGTGGTGGTGGTGGCGCCCACCTCGTACCGCGACCGCATCATCCGCCAGCACTCGCAGCCCGAGACCTGCCTGCACTGCCACCACCCGAAGCCCTCCGCCTCGCTGCGCCACCTGCCGCGCCTCGACTCCTGCTCCGCCACCACGCACGCCGCCGAGGGCATCGCCACCATCGCCGCCGACACGCTGCGCATCAACGGCGCGCTCAGCTCGTTCAAACAGGTGGGTGGCCGCCTGGCCTCGGCTTCGGCCCAGTTGTAGTCTCTGACCCTTTCTTGCTGTCTTCTTCGCCTCGCCTCTTCCTCTCTTTCTTCGTTTTTGTGATGGATAAGATGATAAAGATGAATATGATGGCATCGTGACGATGACAATGACGACGACCACGAAGAAGAAGAAGAAGAAATAGATGAAGAAGAAAAAGAAAAGAAAAGAAGAAATAGAAGAAGAGAAGATGATGATGAAGGAAAAGGCAAAGGCAATGACGACGATAATGACGACAGTGGCGCCGATGATGAAGACGATGAAGCTGATGATGATGACAAACAGGATGTGATGATGATGATGATAAAGGAAGATTAACATTAATGATCGGAATTCTATAAATATATATTTTTTATTCGTAGCTCTACTTTTCAAAATCCTAGGCAACAAATGATAGGATAGAAAGACTTACATACAGTAATTCCATAATCATACATAATTACTGACAGAGGAAAGCACTGATATATATATATATATATATATATATATATATATATATATATATATATATATATATATATATATATATATACATATATACATACATACACACACACACACACACACACACACACACACACACACACACACACACACACACACACATATATATATTATATATATATATATATATATATATATATATATATATATATATACACATATATACACACACACATATATATATACACACACATATACACACACATATATATACATATACATATATGCACACACATACATGCATTCATTCATTCATTCATACATACGTGCAGACATACATACATACATAAATAATTTCACATACATAAACACACACATACATATATGCATATATTCATTCATTCATTCATTCATTCATTCATTCATTCATTCATTCATTCATTCATTTCATACATACATACATACATACATACATACATACATACACATATACATACACACATACACATACATGCATACATATATACATACATACATACACATATACGTACATATATGCTTGTATACATACATACAATAAATACATACATACATATATATGTGTGTATATGCATATGTACTATAATATATATATATATATATATATATATATATATATATATATATATATATTATATATATATTATGCATATGCATATATGTATATAGATGTTTATCTATATATACATTTTTTATGTATATGAATATATGTTAAATATATATATATATAATATATTATATATATATATATATATATATATATATATATATACACACACATGCATACATATATGCATACCACCATACATACGTACATACACGCACACACACACATGTGCATATGTTTTGTACATATAAATATACATACACATACATACATACATACATACATACATATATATGTGTGTGTATGTGTGTGCGTGTGTGTGCGTGTTTATTTGTGTTTGTGTGTGTGTTTGTATATAAGATTGTGTGCGCATATTTGTGCGTTTGTGTGTGCGGGTGCTTGCGCGTGCAAGTCCATTTAGGTATGTATGTATATATATATATAGATTTATATATGTATTTATTTATGTACAAAAACGAGTCTTAAAGAATATATAATATAGTTGACTTTTTTATAGGGGGATAGGCTACCAAGACCCTCATGAGCTAGTTTTCTGTGGAGGTAGGGAATACCAGAGAAAATGGGTTTTAGGGGTAACTCTTGAATTATGAATATGTCGTCGTTTTCGTCGGTTTCGTGTGTTGTGTGTGTGTGGTGTGTGTGTGTGTGTGTGTGTGTGTGTGTGTGTGTGTGTGTGTGTGTGTGTGTGTGTGTGGTGTGTGTGTGTGTGTGTGTGAGCGTGCGTGTGTCCACGCACGTGAAACCGTTAAGATAAAAAAAAATATAATGCTAGAAGTGTGAGAATTAAACCCAGACAGAAACAATAAAATGCAAACAACGAAAATGAGCTAATAAAACTGAAATGGAGATCAAGGATTTGGATTTAGGCTAGAAATAACCACATAGATAAATGAGTAAATAAATAATAACAGCTATAACTGAAATGACGCAGCAAATGACCTTTGACCCGATTCAGGAAATTAAGAGTTTGATGGCAATGATATCCGTGCGGGGTGGGCGGCGAGGTTAGGAGGGTGAGGGGGAAGGGATGCAATTTTGGGTTCCTGAGCTTTGCCTAAACGTGTGCATGCATGCATACAAACATACATATACACATACATGGATATATATAAATGTGTGTATATATATGTATGTATGTGTATGTATGTATGTATGCCTGTATGTGTATGTATGTGTATGCGTATATGTGTGTGTGTGTATGTGTGTACACACATATTTGTGTATATGTATATATATATATATATATATATATATATATATATATATATATATATATATATATATATATATATACATATATACATATATACATATATAATATAACATATACATATACATATACATATACATATACATATGCATATGCATATGTATATGTATATATGTCTCTCTCCTTCTCTCCTCCTCTTTCTCCTTCTCTCCTTCTCTCCCTTCCTTGCCATGCAGCTTACGGATCCAATGCACATCCCCCAACCCTTATGGAAATGCCTGACCGTATGTTTCAGTCTTCCATTAACTTGCCAACGATTATAGGCCTAAAGCGAGCCAGCGGGAGGAAATTACATCATAGGCCTCGATCACTAACGCCTTGGGATTGCCTTACTGGTGCAGATTATTGGAACTGCGACTCGAATTTTCTGTAGGGTCTCGCATCTCCTTTAAAATAGATGAATAAATGGATGTGAATAGGTAGCTAGATAGAGCGATGAAAAGGTAAATATACGGATGATTGTAGATATTAGCAATACATAGAGAAATTGATAAATAAGGAGATATAATAATTGAGTTTGTGGATGAATAAATAAAATGAATAAAGAAAGTAAGTAAATAATTGAATGAAAAGATAGATGAATGGAAGATTGATAAAAAAGGGCCCGTGTCATAGTAATCTCATATTGTTTGATATTTAATAACCCATTAATCATGTTGATATAAAAAAAATCTATCAAGCGACCTATCAATTGCTAAGAAATGATTGAAAAGAGGAATCACTTACACAGCACGATAGGTTGCCGAGTATCAATATTGACCATAGAGGCGAGCATTCATCAGTTATCTCATGGCATGTCATTCGCTGGCGTTGACACCAAGTCATCCGTCGTCCACCATCAACTCGTCTCGCTTGTCAATCTGCCCTTCATTTGTCATCCAATATTTGGTCCTTGCTTATGAAGTACATCGTCCGTGCGTCCATTTTGAGTATGGAATTTGGTCATTGATGTTCTTTGTTATTTTGTAAGGTTATTATGCTTAGCCACGGGAAAGCTTTCATTCTTTTTACAAAGTTATCTTTCTGCTGTTTTTTTTTTCTTCTTTTCTTTTCTATCGCGCTCTGTTTCTGTCAGTCAGACACTCAGTCTGTCGGTAGATATTTTGTGTCTATCTCTCTCTCTCTCTCTCTCTCTCTCTCTCCTCTCTCTCTCTCTCTCTCTCTCTCTCTCTCTCTCTCTCTCTCTCTCTCTCTCTCTCTCTCTCTCTCTCTCTCTCTCTCATTGTCTCGCAGACAGTTTTTTTTTATCCATCTGCCTGATATCTCTTGCTTCCTCTTATGTCTCCTGCTCCTCTTGCTCTCACCATTTTTTCTCTTCTCTTCTCCTCTCTCTCTCTCTCTCTCTCTCTCTCTCTCTCTCTCTCTCTCTCATTCTCTTTCTTCTCTGTCCCTCTATTTATCTCTCTTATCTTATTTACTCCTGATACCCGCGTCGCCATGGAGACTTCTGAACGAAAAAATGTTAACCAATTAAAAGTTTCTCCGGACCATCTTGACAGACACCGTTCGTAACTACACATGATTTTTGACTTTTTGATAATTTTCTTCTCGATGTCGTTGAGAAAGAATAAAAATTTATATTCATTTCGTGATTATAATATTTTTTATTGTTTCCTTTCGCTTTTTTCCACTCTTTTCTGGCTTGGTCTGTAAAGGTACTGTCACACTAGCATTTTCTCTGTAAAATGTTTGACTATTTTCAAAAATTTTGTCAAATTTTGAGCGAATTGTCGATATTTCGGTCAGACGATAATGATCGTTTCAGTTTGAAAACCTTTCCGTCAACCAGCCCAGCCTAGTCAAATCAAGAGCTATTTTCGAGAATATTTGCCTTTATGTCAAATAAATTTAATTGTAACATAAAGAATATGAGTAAATATAGTATATACCCTATAAAACAATATAGTAAATATGAAAATTATTGGTTATTGAAATTGATAAAATTTGTTTTTACGTGTTCGCAAGATTGTTTACATCCGTGAGAGCAGTGCGCGCCATTCCTCTCCAGTTTCGACATCATCACGGATCGTGCTAATCTCCCTGTCTGGATGTGCCTTTCTAAGGAATTTCTCATCGTGGCTTCTAGGGAATCAGAGATGGCAGGTACGAAAAGAGTAGACTGAAAGGGAAGACGTACTCTCTCAACCCTTTCCTCTTCGCCTTCCTTCTCTCTCCCCTTTCCTCCTCTCCTCCTTTCTCTCTTCCTCTCCTTCCTCCTCTTCTCTCTCCCTCCTTCTCTCTCTCTCCCTTTCCTCCTCTCTCCTCCTTTCCTTCTTCTCTCTCACCCCTTTCCCTCCTTCCATCCTTCTCCTCTCCTCCTTCCTTCTCTCTCTCACCCCTTTCCTCTTGTCCTTCTCTTCCCCCTCTCCTCTTCTCCTTCCTTCTCTCCCCCTCTCCTTCCTTCTCTTTCCCACTCTCCTCTTCTCCTTCCCTTCCTCCTCTCCTCTTCCTTCTTCTCTTCTCCTCTCCTTTCTCTTTCCTTCTCTCCCCCTCTCCTCCTTTCTCTCACTCTCCTCTTTCTCCTCCCTTCTCTCTCCCCTCTCCTCTTCTTCTCCGTCCTCTCTCCCCCACCCCTTTCCTCCGCCATCAGCGAGACACACCGTGAGACACACAGCGCAG